CAGCAGAGAGTGCGGTCAGAGCTGCTGGGACCAGCAGAGAGTGCGGTAAAGCTGCTGGGACCAGCAGAGAGTGCGGTCAGAGCTGCTGGAATCAGCAGACAGTATGGTTGGAGCTGCTGGAACCAGCAGAGAGTGTGGTCAGAACTGCTGGGACCAGCAGACAGTGCGGTCAGATCTGCAGGAACCAGCAGACAGTGCAGTGGCGGGGGGTGGCGGGGGGGCGCGTGGTGTGGAGAGTAGTCATGGGTGGGGAGAAAAAAAGGAGCAGGGGAGTGGGGAGAAGAGACAGACTGGGTGATATGGGGGGAGCTGGGGTGAAGGGAGGGAAGAGAGAGGAGCCCCGGGTTATTGGACGGGGGAGGGGATTGACAGTGTGGGATCCATGGTCAGGGACAGGGGTTCACAGAGAAGAGGTGAGATGAGAGATGGGCACAAGGGGGTAGGGAAGCAAGCAAGGTAGCAAGTCATGGCAGAAACGGGCCATTTGGTCCATCAACACAGTTCTATCTTTCAATGGTTGATTTCTGCCTTTTCCCAATAAACCTTGATTCCCTCCCTGATTGATAATCTCTCTCTCTGTCAACCTGGAATATCCCGAATGACCCAGCCCCGATAACCTCAGATTCACTCCCTAAGAAGGAATTCCTTCTCAGTGCTATCTGAAACATGTGACCCCTTTTTCTGAGATTGTACCCTCAGGTCTCTCTCACAAGAGGAACAACCTCTCCACTTCTACGCTGTCATGCCCTTATGAATCCTGTATATTTCTGGAAAGTTGTTTCTCATTATTCTACATTCAAATGACTAAAGATCCAATGTACTCAACTTCTCCTCATAAGACAGTCCCTCCGTACCTGGTGTCAGCTGTGAGCCATCTTTGGGCTGCCTCCAATTCCAGGACAGCCTTCCTTAGAAAAGGGATAAAGAGGGTTGTGGATACTCACTGTCTTGAGCTTCAATGAGTGTAAAGGGGAGTTATACTGTACCTTCATGAAGCTGCTGTTAGATCCCAGATGGGGAACTGTGCCCAGTTTGAATCCTCACACCTTGGGAAGGGGGTGAGGGTCTGTGGGTCTTGGTGCAGGTGAGATAGAAACAGATGAAGTTGACAGCCAGAGGTTTGAGTAGAATCAGAGCATGATACAGAACCAGGGGGATAGTCAACTGGCTGTGCACTTACTGGCTCCTAGAATCATCAAATCCCTACAGTGTGGAAGCAGGCCATTCGGCCATTTGGTTCCACACTGATCATCCGAAGAGCATCCCACCCAGAACCATCCCCCTACCTACCCCTGTATTTCCCATTGTGAATCTACCCAACCTATACATCCTCAGACACTATGAACGATTTAGCATGGCCAGTCTACCTAGCCTGCACATCTTTGGACCGTGGGAGGAAACCGGAGCACCCCGATGAAACCCAGACAGACACGGGGAGAACGCGCAAACTCCACACAGACAGTTGTCCAAGGGTGGAATTGAACCCGGGTCCCTGGCATTGTGAGGCAGCAGTGCTAACCACTGAGCCACCATGCCCATTTCCTATTTTACCCCAATTCATCCCAGTCACCTGCTCTCTCCCGGATTCCTGTATAATATTCAAATCCACATGCTTATCCAGTTCCTCTTGTGAAAGTTCTTTCTGCAGCTACTGTTTTCACCACTTATTAGTTTATTTGACTGTCCACAGTATATGGCCAGAAGTGATGGATGGATTGCAATAAACCTCACTACGTAGACATGGTCTCAGGGAGAAATCATTAGATTTGATGATGATATAGATGTGGATCCTGGAATTTTCTAAAAGATCCATGATTATTGAAAGATAGGGCAAGTTGGTTGTTTTTAAAAAGATGTTGCAGACTATTTGTTTAGTAATTTACTGACTTTTTGGAATGCTGTGGATTGTCTCAAAAATAGCTATTGACATGTGAGCAGAGTTTTCAGAACAGGTTGTTGGATAATGGCTTGAGACCTCCTTAGAGAGATGGAAGCTCGCAATATAAAGATTTTTTTTCAGCTTTGGAATTACAGAGTACCATCCAGAAGGGGCAAAGAGGAGAGGAGAAGGTGGGTGATTACAACCAGATGGGGGAAAGAGGAGAGGTGAAGGTGGGTGATTA